CACCTGTCCAGGGTCGCTTGGAGGGAGAGGGTCAGGGCAATCCCAGGATCTGCTGCCATCCTGGGCAGATGGTGAGAGCCCACGAGACCGGCCACTGAGGGAGCTGCTGGCAGACCTCCCAGGATCCTGCGCCCTGAGCCGCCAGAAACCCTGACATTCAACACGCCATAGGGCAGAGTGCATCTAGCTCGAGTGACCGATGTCCCTCCCCCCTCCCATGGGAGCAGTCCACCAGGCAGGTGCTCTCGGGGCTGCCTGGCAGTTGGCTGGGAAACCGCAGAGCCAGGCCCTGACTCACAGCGCCGAGAGCAGCCACACCAGAGGGTGAATGAAACCTCGCTCGGGGAGGTATTTGTAAGTTGCGTGTAGTTATTCACGTGGCACATCTCACTAAAACATCAACTGCTGAGTCATTCGACTAAAGGTTTTGAGCACCTACCAGGGTGGGTACTGGGACAAGGGTGGCGGAGACACGAAGAGGAAGGGACGCGGGTGCTGCCTGGAGGGTGTCGCGAGGTAACTGACAAGAATCGCCCCACACTCTGTGGGAATTCGTGTTGAAGGACACGCGTGGTCCCAGACTACTAGGCACTCCACTGTTAGCCCAGACAGGTAGGAAACGGACCGCCTCCCATGCTGGTGATTCAAGCGTAGATGGGTAGGATCTTTTTGGAAGGCAATTTGGAAATACCCATAAAATTTGAAAATATGCGTACTCTTCAACCCATAATTCTACTTTTGTGTATACCTATGCTGGAGAAATACTTTCACAAATATTTTTTTTTCTAAAACATGCATTTTCAAGGGTGTTTATTGCCGTATCTATAACAGTAAAAATGCTAATCAGTAGCAGAATGGCTAAATAAATCGTGGCATATCCATAGCATGAACAGCACAGCTGTTATGTTACCCTTTATGAAATTGTCATTCTGGTTATTTTTGACCTAAAACAAATGGCAGTTTCATATATTGAACAGAAATCCCTGTGCCTGTGTTTATCTTCAAAATGGGGATAATAATAGTGCCTCCTACTCTCATAGAATTAATGTGAGGATTTCATGCAATACCACGTGCAAAGCCCTTGGGACAGTCCCCAGCACATGGCTGGAGCCCAACAAATGTGTGCTAATATCACTATGTATATGTATCAACATGGAAAGATTCAAAATACACCATTTGGAGAAAATCACTATATTTACATTTTTACAAAGGCGGATGAAATATGAACCCATTTGTGGGTGGGAAACACATGAGCCAGTGTGTGTGCGTCGTTGAGTAAATGCCTAGGAACGGGACTAGAAGGCTTCCTTCCAAACTCTTCCTAGAGGTGAACCCTGGAGAAGGGAGCGGGAGGGGGAAGGGGAGGAGAGCTGCTGGGAGATAAGGCAGCCGCCTGTTCAGGGACTGGTCTCAGGGACCCGTCCTTATTCCACCGTGGGGCGGGGCGGGCTGTCTCTGCAGCTGGGGGTGTCGTGTCTGCGGCTCATGTTGGAGCCTGAAACCCCCAGGGCAAGCAATCAAGGCGTGATGGATGTAAGTTGGGGAGATCAAGGGGTTGGAACCCCCAAGTGCAACCCGAAGCCTTAGGAGGGCTTGCGTCAGCGAGGGGACACACAGAACCTGGCCCAGGAGTCAGACGAGCTGGGGGCGGGGCGGGGGGAGGGGCAGTTGGAGACCCAGCTCTGATGCTGCCTCAGGCGGAAGAGGTGAATCAGCAGGTCTGCAGCCCCGTGTGTGTGTGTGTGTGTGTGTGTGTGTGTGTGTGTGTGTGTGTTACAGAATGCCGCTTTGTCCCCTCCACCTGCCAGACCCCCCAAGAGTGTTTGTGGCCCCCCCCCAACTGGAAACAAACCAAACAAGGGAGTCTGGGAGATGTAGTCCAGCCTAGCCTAAGGGACAGGCCACCAGGCCATCAAGGGGGAAATGTTACGTTTTCCTCTATATACATCTGGATTTTTAAATTCTCTTACAGTGTGACCCTAAAAATGTATTTATTATGAATGAAAAAAAAATTTGAAAGCCCTTGGTGAAAAAAAAAAAAAACAAGGAAAGAAAACTCTTCCTCCCAGTGAGATCTAACATTTGGATTTCTTGCTAACGGCTAACGGCATCCTGAGAATCTATTTCTCCTCTGCTACCCGCCTGGCCTGGCCGCGGCCACCATCGCCTCCTCCCTGGGCGACTGCACTCACCTCCTAACTGCTTCTGGCCGACTCTCTCAGTCTGGTCCCCCTTCAGCCAGAGTGCGCTTTTCAAAATACAAATTAGATGCTGCTGTGCGCCTGTTTAAAAATGCTCCAGTGGCTTCTCATTGCTTTCATTATGAAGCCATAAATCACAGCTCCCCACTCTGGTCCAGAAGTCGTTGTAACACTCTCCCTCTGTCTCTCTCCCCCCACCTCTTCCCTCTCGCCTTTAGTGGTTGCAGAGCCTTGTGGGTGCAGAGCCATAAAGTTACCATGCAGATTACAGTAGTTCATGGCTGGCTGCTGGCTGACCACCTACTGTGCGCAGCATTTGCTAGGTGCCTTGACAATGTCATCTGATTAAATACCCACGGCATGGGGTACAGGCTAAAAGCTTTTCCTGTGCCCAGTTTACAGACAAGCACACCGAGACTTAGGGACAGAGAAACGAGCGAGGGGCGAGCGGCACCACCGGGATTGGAGTCTGGAGTGTCTGACCCCCATACCCATGAGCGTGATGTTCAGAACCATCCATCCTGGGGACAAGTCTTTCCTTCCCTGTCACACCGCCTCGCGAGTGGGTCACGGGCTTTCCCTGGGGCAGTCGGCTCTGGGAGGGTAGGCATCTGAGCCACGTCTCCAATGCCCGCATAGAACTCGCGCACATTAGGTCACTGGTGTTTGTTGAAAGCGTGAGTGTGCTGGCGCCGTGCTGGGTTCTGGATTGCCGCTAGGGTTATTAGACCCCAACGATGCAGTCCTTGCTCCCAGGGTTTGTGCTGTGGAGCAGGGGAGCTGGTCTCATGCTCTGTCACTACGTCCCGGCAGGGTGCAGGGGGGCGGCACATGTGAATCAGCCCAGCCTGGCCCCCAGTAGGGAGGTGTGGAGCCCAGAGAGGCAATCAGGGGGTGTTTGCAGAATGGCCGTGGGATGCGAGTCACAGAACTGGAACAACAGCCTTATCTCGCAGACTCCCACGTAGTTCTGCTTTGGGGGGCTTATCTGTGCTCCGTGGCCAGTAATGGGGTACATTGGTGCTGCCCACCCAAGCTCTTAGAAGAAATCAGCGCAGCAATATAAGCTCCTCCTACCCAGTGGTAAACAACTGTCCTTTGTCCTGGGTGGTGCTGCCCGGCCCTCCCGCCCTCCCTAAACACTTACCTTCGTTCCGACTTGCTGTGTTAGGTCCCACTGATGTCATTGCCTGTGGGACAACTGACCGGGGACTTGGCATTTTCTCAGCTCTGAGGACTAGGCAGACACTTTTCATTACAAGTAAGGGGAGCCGGTCAGTTTGTCTGTCATGAGAGTGCTGGATCCTGAGTGGTTGTTTTGTTGGGAACTTCCTGTGTACTGTGCGTGGATCGGCCGCTGTGTGCTGTATTCTTTAATCCTCACGGAATTCATTCTAAAGAGTAGGGCACTGAGGCACCAGGAGGCTCACTTGTCCAAAGCCCCACAGTGCTCACTGCTTAGAAACTAGCCTGTAATGCCTTCTAGAGAGTTCTAGGGCTCCAGTTAGAAAGCATCAGTCTCCAGCCTCAAGGAGAAAGGTTTCCAAGGGCAGCCACTGACGCCCTTAAAACATGAGGTGTGCCTCCAGTCAAGACTGCACCTGCTCATGTGTGCGTGTGTGTGCGTGTGTGTGTAGGGGGTGGGTGAGGAGTGAGTCTTCGTTAGATGCGTACCCCGCTAACTGGTGATAAACAGGGCTATGGCCTTGGGGCACAGGCCTCACATACCACCCATCCACCTGCTGAACACCTTCAACTTTCAAAATTCATTTTAAAGCTTCCGTGTAGTAGATAGAGTCTTAATCCCCAACGTGCAACTATTTTTCTGAGCCATTTCTACCATCGAGGCAGGCTTTTCCTGAGGCAGCCAGGTTGGAAAGGGGCCACCAGGAATAAAGCTATCACTGAAGAATAAAGCCAAATTGGTCATTATTGCCTGGGGCGGGGGGCGGGGGAAGGACTTCTCTATTTTCACAAGCTCCTTCCTGTAGAGAATATTTGAACAGTTTCACTGAGGCCTGCAGTACGATGGCTCTAATGTCTCCTGGCTTCCTGACACCATGGGTCTTCATTATTTCAGGTGCACACAAGCATCATGAATGGGAGAGAGAAATTAGGTATTTAGTGTTCTTTGATGGAGTTTATAAGAATCCCGATTAGGGGCGCCTGGGTGGCTCAGTCGGTTGGGCGTCCGACTTCGGCTCGGGTCATGATCTCACGGTTCGTGAGTTCGAGCCCTGCGTCGGGCTCTGTGCTGACAGCTCGGAGCCTGGAGCCTGCTTCGGAATCTGTGACTCCCCCACTCTCTCTGTCCCCTCCCCAGCTCATGCTCTGTCTCTGTCTCTCAAAAAATAATTAAACGTTAAAAAAAAAAATTAAAAAAAAAAAAAGAATCCCAAGTAGTCATTTTGCAGGCTTTTAAGAATTCTGTGCATCATCTCACGCTGCCTTTCAGAGCGCTGGAAACACGAGGGCAGGCATTCTTGATGGATTCTGGATTTCTGATTTACTTCTCCCCAAGGTACTTAATCAAGGAATGCAAGCAACTCATTTGGCTTCTCAACGCTTCCTCTCCTTCCCCGGACACTATTGTGAAGGCTTCCTTGTTTTCCTTCTGCTTCTAAGCCATTTCAAGGACAGGGGTCTGGGCTGAAATGATCTAGAACGTGACCTCTAGAAGTTGCTTTCTGCCCCAGCCGGGAGGGTAGAGCCTTGCTCCTGCCCGGCCCGGTAGAACCAAGCCTTGGTCACCAAGGACGTGTGAAATAAACGTCTGTCTGTTGTTGTGGTTTGTTCCAGAGCTGGTGATGTTGCTGGAGTGGTGGTCGGGCACGGAATGCATCATCCATACAGACCCCCAGGCCTACCCCAAGTACGGAAAGGAAAATGCCATCGTGGTTCTGAACCACAAGTTTGAGATTGACTTTCTCTGTGGTTGGAGCCTGGCCGAACGCTTTGGGGTGTTAGGGGTAAGTTGGATTCACATTTTTCCGCCTCACACACTTCCCTTGTTCAACACCATGACTTGCCTTTTTCTCTCAACCACTCAGGATTGCAGAAGCATTAACAGTTTCTACCTGATGAAATGTTCTTAACTAATTGCTTTTCATTCCTGCTTGGAGTCAAGATGAAATTCTTCTTTTTTTTTTTTGAGTTATTTTTTTATTGAGAGAGAGAGAGAGAGAGAGAGAGAGAGACCCCCAAGCAGGCTCTGCACAGTCAGCACAGGGCTGGACCCCACGAACCGTGAGATCACGATTGGGCTGAAACCAAGAGTCGGATGCTTAACCGACTGAGCCACTCGGGTGCCCCAAGATGAACATCTTCTAATGACCGACAGTGATATTTATTCAGCGACGACTGTGTGCTAGGTATTTCATATACCGTGAGTTTATTTGCTCCTTATAGAAACATTTATGAATAGATGATATATGCCCTCCCCTTTTTAACAACCTAAGTGACAGAGGGTTTAAATGATCTGCTCAAGCTCACAGAGCTATCAAGTGGATTTGGACTCGGGCTCCTCTGGTTTGAGGCCCCGTCGCGCCCTTCGTCTGCGCTCCGCTGCTTTCCCGGCTACCGGCCAGGAGTCATTCCAGGGTGCACCTTCCCCTCTGTGGGCTTCAGCACGCTGGGTCCCCAAGCCAGAGAGTTTCAGTGTCAGAGTTGAGAATAAATACGAACTTCTGTTTCCCGCCCCCAAGTAGTTTGACTTCTTGCACGCCTTTGGGACTGGGTTTTCTGGGTTGACTTTCATCATCTTGAAAACATCGCGTTGTGTAGTCACGCCCAGATCCGATCAGCGAATTTGAGCTGTCTAGGTGCTTAGGCTGAGCCGTCCCGACCGGGATGACGGGTGGCGGCCTGGGGCGAGGAAGGGCCGGGACAGCTTGAGCGAGAACTCGGGGCTCCTGTTTAGCACTGTCTGCGGGGAACAACGCCTGCAGACAGACGGGGTGTCTGCTCACATTGTTTTTGGACGAGGGAGAGAAAATGATAGTGTTCAGAGGGGCGGAGATTGAAGCCTGGGAGGCTGGCGGGGCTGATGGGTCCACGCGTCTGACTCGGTGGGGAGGCCGCCTGGGTCTAGTCCCCGATGTGCCTGCGGAGTCTCAGAGACGCCAGCAGCACTTGGGGGGGCCCTGTGACTGACTATTTGGGAAGACCCTTCGTGAAGGAGGACTGCACTGCACGGATTACATTTTGTATCTGCGTTTAAAACATTGATGCACTTTTAAATTGGGGGCAGAAGGAGAGAGAAGGAAATGTGTTTAGAATCAAGTCCCATTCATGTCTCTGGGACAAATGAGACTCCTTCGTAGGCACTGAAACCATCAAAAGGCAGGCAAGGTCTTTAGCAGTTTTTCAAGAGATAGAAACAGTGTGTCCCTTCACCATTGGCACCTTAAGACTTCGAGAAAGCTGGGTTGCCTATGAGCGAGTCACGGAAGGGCTTTCTAGGAAAGGGACAGGCCTCCCGGCCAACGGTTTTGTCCTTTGTTTTCCTATTTAGTCTTCCAGTTCTGACTTGGTATCTATGCGCACACGGGTGTTAAATATATTTTCAGGAACAAGACCAAACACCTTAGCATCTGCCTTTCTCCGTTTCGGGCTCCTGGTCTCAGCTACAGTTCTGTGCTTTGATTCTCTGCGAGAGGAGACCACCCCCTAACGTGTCACAATCCGAACCCCATCACGGAGATGAATGGTCATGACAGGGTCCTTCTTCTGCCTTGGGAGAAAGGGTGCCTAGTCTCTCTGCATCCTGACTACTAGAACGTTCTTTCTACTGCCGCCTCCGAGCTAGACTTCCTGGCGTGCCAGCGTCCCCCCAGGCCCGGGACTCCGGGTGTGGTTGAGGGACAGTTGGTGTTTTCCAGACTTCCCGAGGCTTTGGGGGTATTCCTGCTCAGGATGTGAACATGCATATGATCTGGGTGGCACCATCCAGTTCACGTCGTACCCTTGTAGCTCGATGACCACCAGCTCTTTCTGGGTACTTATTCACCGGATGTTGCTATTTCTAATTCTTAGGACATTGTCATTATTTACACTCCATAAACTCCCAAAGCCTCAGTTTGGCTAAATCATTTGTCCCAGGAGCGTAACTAGTACATCTGATTCCAGAGCTCTGCTCTTCTCCCCCAGTGGTGGTAGGGGAAGAGACTCAGGGGCCCTGGGGACGCTGGAGCCTTTGCATCAGAAAATGACCAGGGCCACCTGAGGACAGGGACCAGGCTGGAGCACAGTGGTAAGAGTGCTGATGGCCGGAAGGTTATTAACAGGACACCCCCATCTGGCCAACAGCACAGGGACTTCTCGCCTCCAGCTGTGATTCTGTAAACGGATACTCTGTCCGTCGGGTTTCCTTCCTTACTGTTGAAAACTGAGCAGTCAGGGTTGCCTGTGAGGGGGTGTGAGCCCCGGCATCAGAGACTGTTCTAGGAGCTCGCAGGTTTCGGAGGCTGCCTGGCTGTGAAGCGGGTTGAAGCCTCAGCCTGGGGTGAAGAATGTCCCATTCTCACTGGAATTGGGGAGCCCTACTCAGTGGGGCCTCAGCTTCCGGGAGCCCCGGAGTCCTCGCTGGGACGGGAGGGAGAGTACAGCCGGGGACGGGAGGTGGCCGCCTTCCCCTGCCCTCCAGCACTGAGCACCGGCCTGTGGTGTGGCTGCACTTTCCAAGGTCGCCTCGTGCCGGCCAGGTACCTGGTGCCAGGAGAGCGTGATGGAGGAGTCAGCGACCCTTGTCGGGGTCGGGGGTTGGGCCAAGTCAGGGGGAAGCCGCCAGACTCTTCTCCCCGGGGACTGCCCTGTCTGTGCTGCAGGGGACAGTTCACATCCACACGTGCTGCTCGAGCAGCCGAGGTCCAGGCAGCAGCCGTGATGCCAGATGAGCCGCTTGGCCTCTTTCCAAAGTGGCACGTTTATTCCTGCCACCCTTCAGCGGCCACAGAGCAGCGTCTTGTTATGTTAATTGTTCAGCAGTGCCCTTTGGCCTTAAATCACCTGCCCCCCAAAATAAATGACTAAATAAACAACACGTGACAGCGAGATCCTTCTGGAGTCTAAGAAGCTCCAGAGCTTCTTAGAGAAGCTTCTTAGAGAAGAAGGGACAAGACGGAGTTCCTGAGGGGGCAGTTTTCACCTGCCTGTGCAACTGCCCACGAGGATGTGCGTTCATAGTGAAGCCGTGAAATTTGCCGAAATTCTTGAGAATGGGGTCACTAAATATGAAAATGGTTTTGGGGGGAAGGGGGTGGGATTTTCTTAAAAAGGAAAAAGACTTGTCGCCTTTTATAAGCATCTGAGGACCCACACAGTCATCCCAGTGGCCTATTCTCCCCTCAGAGCTGGCACTTCGTGGCACGGGCCAAGGTTACAGCAAAGGCTCCGGTTATGACTTTGAAGAATACATGCGCTTCCCTCCTGCCTGGGGACGGGCGTGGCCCATGGACAGTTAAGAGCATGAATCACTAAAGCGTCCAGCAAAAATACAATGCAGAGGGGCCGGGTTTCCGAAGCTTCCGGAAGCTTCTCTTTCTGTCCCAGCAAAATACATACGTGTCACTTCATAGTGGCCCTGGCAGGTCACCCCAGGTCATATTTGTTGGGTCTTTGAGCGACACCAGGTGCCTGGTGAGCGTTCCATACACAGAAGCGGCTATGGTCAATATTTACCTGCTGGGTAGGTGCGGCCTGTAGGTTAACGTGGAGGCCAACTGGGATATTGTTCTTTAGATTGTTAACGAGCCCAGATCTGTTCTATCTGTGGCAGTGAGACAAGTCCCCAAACACAGCAGCTTAAAACAGTGAACACGTATTGGCTCAGCCCATGTGGTCTGGGATCCAGGCACAGCTCAGCTGGGGGTCCCGGCAAGGGTCTCTCGGGAGGTTGTACTCAAGCTGCCGGCCAGGGTGGTGGTCTCATCGGAAGGCTCGCCGTGCGGTGACCTGCCTCCACCCTCGTCCCTGTGTTTGTTGCCAGGCCTGACCCCTCCCCTGAGCTTCTTCTCAGCTTTCCCCTGGACGTGGCCACTGGCTTACCCCAGGGGGAGCTGTCCCGGAGAGAGCAGGAAAAGGCCCCCGACACAGCACCCACGGCCTTTTTGTGACCGAAACCCCGAAGTGGCATCATCACTTGGTCATGTCGTATCTGTCCGAGGTGAGCAGATGAGTCCAGCCCACCCTCCAGGAAGTAGGGTGGGTTACAGGAGAGCTTCGATACCAGGAGGCGAGGACCACCGAGGCCAGTGTAGACCCTGCCACCACACCATGGCAGGACATCTGCTCTCAGACCTCACATAAACATAATATATGATAGCTCAGCCTGAGAACAGATCGAATTTCTGTTGCGTTTCTTCATATAGGGAGAAGTAGAAGGAGAGTAGTAGAATCATTACCCTAAGCAGAGGGCACCCTGCTGTCCCTCAAAAAGCTCTCAGGATGGCAATGACAACTACTGTGGGGAGGGGTTTCAATATTTTCACATTGTAAACATTCTGTAACATTCTGGTGCCTACCAGCACATGGGCTGTGGGGCCCCTGGGACACAGGGGACTTCCAGAAGGTGATAGCAATGGACCAAGGCCTCAAGGGCATGATTTGAGGAGCCACGGGAGATGCAGATGAAGGGATGATCATAGAGGTGGGGAGGTGCCTAAAGGGAGACCCTGAGAGATTGGCCCCCGTCTGCCAGGCGTCACGCCCCTCTTCGCCGTCTGGGCGTGGCCAGAAGTGCGTATTAGTTTTCCCACTTATGTCACGGGCCGCCAGCTCAAGGCCACTGTGGGCTGCTTTCAGACTTACTGAGGCAAGTCAGAAAGAAGGGTGTGGGCAGGCTGCTGCCATTTTGGCGGACCCATCTGGGCCGAGGTGGAGGCCTGCACCGCTCCGGGTAACATGGCCAGCAGATGTCATAAAGCCCTAGGAAATCACTCAGGGGCTGAAACCAAGAACGGAACCCAAAGTG